GAAAAGTAAAAATAATCACTCGCTCTCGTGTTGACAAGAACTTGGCTCTGATACCAAATTGTTGGAAAAAAGGGATAGTGAAAGAGATAGAAATAGATAAAATAGCTTATTATTGTCTACGGACTTAATGCTAGTTACATAATTCTAGTATTTATAGCTTATACACTAGACTAGTAAATCATGTAAATCTAGATAAATTCAAATCTCCTAAAATCTTGGTAGTTTGAATATTTGAATCATATCTCAATTACTTTAAATCATATCTTCATTTTGAATACTTTGAATTATATCTTCAACGCAATAACCAGCCAGGACATGAAAAATCGAGTAGGGTACGTACGGAGGGGCCGACAGGTATGAATCCTTACAATAGTTGTAGTGAAGCATGTGATATCCTAGTCAATGTAGGGTGCGAATGAGGAACAAAGTCTGAGGTGAGTATCATCGGTATGTATAAATAATATGAACTGGGCAAACAGGTTGGGGTGGTTTAATTAATTTATCCTATAAACATGAGAGATTTTGGGGGTTATTTGTTTGTTTGATGCCATTTTGAGACATGAGATTGGTGTAGTATTAAGACAACTACTGACACAACAAAAATTGAGAACATATTTTATACGTTTTTTGGTCGTTTGTTGGTGACAGTTGTGTTACAAGATAAATTAGCTTTTTCAGAATTTCATGTCACTTTTCCTTTTTAACTTTCATCACACTGAATCTTTGTTGCTGTCCATTGGCATCCATTTATGTTGTCCTCTACGTCCGTACGAATGTAAGACCTATATCATAAATATATATATATATATACATACGCGCCTTCATATATGTATGTGTATGTGTAAATGTACGTGTATATTTACATGTATCCATACCTTTATAAAAAATGTTTCGTTCTCCTGTTCAATTAATGGAATCTCACCCTCCAACCCTGCAATAGTGGGCTCACCTTCTTCGCTGGCATATCGCCTAATGTCTAGCTCTGATATAATGTGTAACAGCTCAAACTCAGTGTTAATAGATATTGTCCGCTTTGGCCCCTTACGTACTTCCTCACTGGCATATCGTCTAATGTCTAGCTTTGATAAATTTGTAACAGCTCAAACTCAATGTTAGTATATATTGTTCGCTTTGGTCACTTACGTATCGCCGTCAGCTTTACAGTTGTTAAAACGCATATGCTAGAGAGAGGTTTCCATACCCTTATAAAGAATGTTTTGTTCCCCTCTTCAATCTATGTGGGATCTCAATATTAGTAGATATTGTCAGCTTTGGCCCCGCTTTGGCCCCTTACGTATCGTCGTCCTTCACAGTTTTAAAACGCGTATGTTAGAGAGAGGTTTCCAACCATTATAAAGAATGTTTCGTTCTCCTCTCCAACCGATCTAGGATCTCACAATCCACCCTCGCAATAGTGGGCCCAACTTCCTCAATGGCATATCGCCTAATGTGTAGCTTTGATACAATTTGTAATAGCCCAAACTTAGTGTTAGTACATATTGTTTGCTTTGACCTCTTACGTATCGCTGTCAACTCCATAGTTTTTAAAACACGTATGCTAAAGAGAGGTTTTTACACCCTTATAAAGAATGTTTCGTTCCCCTCTTCAATCGATGTGAGATCACACAATCCACCCCTGCAATAGTGGACCCAACTTCCTCATTGGCATATCGCATTGCCTAATGTTTAACTTTGAAACAATTTGTAACAGCTCAAACTCACTCTTAGTAGATATTGACCGCTTTTGCTCCCTTACGTATCGTTGTCAGCTTCACAGTTTTAAAACGTGTCTGGTAGGGAGAGGTTTATACACCCTTATAACGAACGTTACATTTTTCAACATTTTAAAAAAGGTTGAAAGTATCGAGGAATTGTTGAAACACTTTTCAAAGGTCGTATTTTTAAAACAAGTTTGAATGCTCAATATAAATAATTAATGATATAATTTGAAAAATACTCATTATCAATCACTTCAAAAACTAGTCGATGTCCACAGTACTTTTATCTTCAAATATCACATTCTCAGCTTAGCACATCAAACGTAACGTTTATGCCTACACGATAAAGCAAAGATAGAGGATATGATAATAATATGGTTGGATATAGGTGGCCTACCTGTTCTCCATGTCCCTAATAGAGCCATAATGACAGAGGTGCAAGAGGGAAAATGGTGGCTCTTCCATTGAACCCATTTAAACTTTAGGTTTATTTGTATTCAACAAACTTGTGAATATGAAGCAACCATGGTGGTGGGGTGGGTCAATCCAATGTCCTATAACATGACAAGCTTTTCAAATCATCCATGGATCTTCTGTTTTACCTCGTTTGTCACGTTTCATCTATCTACAAGAACTATCTTCACTCTAATTTCGATTTTTTTTACTGTTTATTTACGATCTCTAAGCAATAATGGTTCGTTGTAATTTTAGGAGAGTTGAAAATAAGCGTAGATTCATAGGTTTTAGAATCAGTAGTCAACCTTTCAAATCATTGTTGAATCAATGGACATGCAAGAGACAATCTCGAAAACTGAAATGTATTTGTAACCAAAGGAAAAGAAAGCAAGAGTCATTCACGAAATAGTGGCACCCTATAACAAACCCATTTGATAAGCTTTTCAAATCATTTACCTCATTGTGACGCCCCTAATTTTCTTAGACTAATTAGTGACTTTACAAATGGTATCAGAGTTAGAAATTGAGCGATGTGCCAGTAAGGAGACTGAGCCTCGAAGGGGATGGATTGGGAGGGTTCCACATCGATTTGGATAAGGGAACGAGTGTCAGCGAGAACATTGGACCTCAAAAGGGGTGGATTATGAGATTTCACATCAATTGGGGAAGAGAATGAAACATTCTTTATAAGGTGTGGAAACTTTTCCTAACAGACGTGTTTTAAAAACCTTGAGGGGAAGCTCAAAAGAGAAAGTCTAAAGAAGACAATATCGGCTACCGGTGGGCTTGGGCCGTTACACTCACCCCCATTTCAAAATTTCACTCTTTGCTTACAATAAGAATAATAGAAGTTCGTTATAATTTCAGGGGAGTTAAAGATAAGCATAGATTCAGAGATTTGACACAGAGAGTCGAGATCATGAAAACAAGGTTTTACTAGTAGATGAAGCGATGGAGTACCAGTACTTTCCAGATGGCAAGATTTCAGTAACCGAGAAAGAGACAACCTGCGCGGAACAATAATTGTAACAATTGGTATGGCTAGAGAGGGGGACTCTTATAGGAAGCATAAAACTAGCCTTACCCTAATTTTGTTTGGTTGCAAGTTCATAGAGGAATGGGTGGAACGTACGTGAATGGAATGTAAAGGAGGGTAATTGGGTAGGGCAGCCAATGTTGTGGCCGTATTAGACATGTAATAAGGTATTATGCCCTTTGGTGGGGTACCCCCAAAACATCCACTTTCATCTCCCTTTTCCATAATTATTAAATCACAACACATTAATTTCCCTCTATATTTTATTATTATTGCTATTATTTTCCTTCTTTTAATCCATCTAAACCTTATCATCACTCTATGGATTTTATAATAGATTCTCGAGCCTTCAATTTAAACGGGTCATGACGTATTTAAATGTTTATTCGTATCTAGCTTGAAACGATTCTATATTGGGTGATTTTCTCGATTTTCTTAACAAGCAGGTGATAGAAAAAACACGTGTTGGTACATGATGATAATCTTCCCTCTTCGAAGAAATTGAAGAAAAGTAGTGCAACAACTTATGTCCACTATTAGCAGATATTGTTCGTTTTGACCCGTTACGTATCGCCGTCAGTCTCATGGTTTTAGAACATGTATGTTAGGAAGAGGTTTCTACACTCTTATAAGGAATGTTTCGTTCTCCTCTCCAACCGATGTGAGATCTCACAATCCACTCCCTTAAGAGCTCAATGTTCTAGCTGACACATCGCCATCTGACTCTAATACCATTTGTAACAACCCAAGTCTACCACTAGCAGATATTGTCTGTTTTGGCTCGTTACGTATCGTTGTCAGCCTCACGATTTTAAAACGTGTCTATTAGGGAGAGATTTTCACACTTTTATAAAGAATATTTCGTTCTCCTCTTCAACCAATGTGGGATCTCACAAGGCATACATTATAATTTTTACCATCCATTTATAAAATGGAGTCGAATATGTTTGGACGGTGGATTATATTAATAAATATATCCTCAATAATACAAGTAAAATGTTGAAATTATAGTGTATGGTTGATGGTGACATATTGTTGAAGTATATAGTTTGAGAGAGAATGATAATATAATACATAGTTTTCAATTTGATTTGTTAATTGAAAGTGCCCCACAATTACTTAAGTGACCTTCCTAGATGATGGTGTGTGGGGCTACCCATTAGGACTACAACCCTATGTGTAGGACTTTTCTTTTCAAAGACCATCACCATCCCTTTCCTCTTTTTGGTCCCATACTCCCTTGCCTCGATTGTACACATTATTTTTTGAGGGGTCATTCCATGAGTGTGAGAACGGCTCGGAAACAAATACGAGTCCTTTTAACATGTGGTTCTCCAATATAGAACGGCTCGAAACAAGACATTCTTAATTTTAGAGTTCCATGGTTGAGGAGGAACGTGCACTTTGTTTGTATAGATAATAACTTTTAACTTTTTTAAAGCCTTTCTTAGTCATCGTATTCTTTATAATCACTCTCATTCAGATGTGATCTTGGTTCACTCATGTACCTCGTTTACTCAAATGTCACCGAAATAGTTTTTAATATTTTAAAAATAATTTTAAATCTACTCTAAATATTTAATAATTAATATTTTCAAAGAAAATTATAATCTTTTAGCTTAGGTTAAAATTCTCTTTATTTAACAAAAAATAATAATAATAATAATAAAGAGAATTACGCGTAGAGAAACGGAATTAAAAATTACAAAATATATATATATATTTATTTATTATTTAATTAAAAATAGCATTATTTATAAGATTGGTCTATAAATACGAATTGGCCGTCTTTCTCACGGCATAATTCCATTCATCATCTCTTCCGGATCGCTCTCTCTTTCTCTCTACTGGTTCTGTTTACAGTTCCGCCATGGGCTTTCCTGCAAGCTACACTGAGCTTCTTCTTCCAAAGCTCTTCATCCACGTACTCTCCATCCTCGGCTTCCTCAGGAAGCTTATCTCCCTTCTCTTCCGCCTCCTAGGGCTTCAAGATTTCCTCGAACCGGACATTCCCTGGCCCAATCAGTCCGATTCCTTTACTACGGGACCGTTGACGGACCTTGATCCTCTCTCCGCGGCAGTTCTCCGTGAGATTCTCCCCGTCGTGAAGTTTTCCGAGCTTTTGGATCCGCCGGAGAGCTGCGCCGTGTGCCTCTACGAGTTCGAGTCTGACGACGAGATCCGCCACCTCGCTAACTGTCGCCACATCTTCCACCGCGGATGCCTCGATCGGTGGATCGGTTACGGACAGAGGACCTGTCCGTTGTGCCGGACGGTGTTCATTCCGGGCGATTTGCGGAGCGGTGTTTGTAATTTTGACGATAGGCTTTGGGAGGATTCGGAAATCTTTGAAGCACTCCACAGCGATTCTTCTTCTTCGACTCTTCTCTCTGCTGGTTTGTAGCTTTTGGAGATTAGATTTTGGTTTGTTGATTTTGCTGCTTTCTTCTCATGAATCCATATCTGAAAACAGAAATAAAGAAGTGAGAAAAAGAGGGGAAAGAGATGGAGATGGAGATGGAGATGAATTGAGTTTGATGGAGGGGATATGTTTGTTGTTCTTCTGTACATACAAAAAAAAAAAAAAAAAAAAGAGTTCCTAAAAGGAACTGAAAAATGAAATGAAATGAAATCAATTACAGGTCTCAGAATTAGATCATCATCATCTTCTTCTTCTTCTAATCCTCTTATTCCTCTCTGTTTTTAACAATGCAACAAATGGATTAGAAATTGAAATCGATACAGTATGAGATTTGCTGCGGTGGAATGAATTTGTAGTTTGAGTTCAAATTCTTTCTCAGTCTTGAACTGATACAGAAGTTTCCATGCCTTCAATCATAACTTCCACCGTTCTTCTTCTCTCGTATACTATTTCTAATGATCAAACTCAATTAACTCAAATTCTGTTTACTTCTCAAGAAATTGTGAAATTGAGGTATGGGGATGAGGTTATTGAAGAACATTGATCTTATTAGATTAGTTTGGTTTGGAATATTTTGTGGCATTTTACTTTGCATCTAGATTTGAGAATTTTGTTGGCCAGGTTTGTATTCTTTTAATCTCTACCCATTTCATCTCTCCACTAGATATTCCTTATGCTACTACCGTACCCCACATTGGTAGTTTCCACTACTTGGATCATTGAATTTTGAGCCCAATTTTTGGCTCTTTTATCAAATGATAAAATTAAAGTAATTATAATCTTAAGAACAAATTTATAATTTTACTCGTTAATTCAAGATAAGATATTAAATTTGTCAAAAGCAAAACAATAATAAGAATTCAAGATCGGTCAACAATCTCGATAACATCATATTTTAGATTTGAAACAATTGTTAGATGAACACGATTCTCCACAATGATATACAATGATATGATATTGTCCAGTTTAAGCATAAGCTCTCATGACTTTAGCTCTATTTTTTAAAAATAGCTCACAAACTCATGACTATTTCTTAAATTAACCAACCTATTCTTTTATTATAAACCATGACCATTTCTTAAATTAATCCGCGACAATTTCATCCAACAATAAAATTAAAAAATCGAATGGAATTGAAAAAAATTAAAAATAAAAGTGGGGGTTAGACATGTGAGTCACATGTGATGCTCTGTAAATGAAGAAACAATCTCTGCAAAAACTTGTTAAAAAGCATCATCCCAAAGGACAATCATCCATGGATATCTTTTTCATTCTTTTTATTAAATTAATTTTTAAATTATTTTGCTTAAAGGAAGCTCCAAATTTCTACTCAGACCCAATTGGGTCGGGTTGTAGCATTTTTTTAACCATGGTTAAATAATAAACTCAATCCAACTCAACTCAATCGGGTTGAGTTTGGTTATTTATTCAAAATTTTATTATATTAAATAAAATAAATATGTGCTTATATAATAGTATCTCAATAAATTCGAATTAGTTGGACGAGAACTCATGAATCAATCAAATGCATAAAGTTTTAATTTACTTGAACTCAATCCAACCCAAATAGGTTCGTAACGTGTTGGGTTTGATAGATCTAGTTTTTCGGATTGCTGGATTTTTTGAACACTCCTAATCACATTACGTTACGTCCAACGTAGATAAAACTCCTATAAGATCTCTTAACATAGTTTAGTTAATAATTATAATTATAATTATTAATTCTTTTTTCATAATATTTCTCATTTTTACTTAAATCAACCAATTATATCCCCTTTTTATATAATGGGCTGCCAGCCTGCCATAATTTGTGGCCCAACTCATCTCTCAGGCCCATTTATTTTAGTGGCATTGGCCCAAACCCTCTCATGGCCCATTTCTTTAGTAAGGCTCGCCCCATTTATTTTCTTTCGATTTAATTATTTTTATTTTATGAGCTAATATGTTTGGTTTTGAGTGTTAAATATTTACGAAATAAAAAAATGTTTTATTATTTTGGTATTTCTTTATTATATAGTTTATTAAAGATTTTTTTTTGTTAATTTTTACATTGACGGTTATAACGTAGAATCGTATCGAACAGTCGAAATTGATTCAATTTTTAAATTAATACAATTATTAAAAAAAATTATTGATAACCTCCGAAGTTTTGAAATTTTAATTTTTTTTTTAAAAAAAATATCAAATTTGAGAAACTATAAAAAGTTTGTTTCTCAAATTTATGTTTTTTAGATTTTTCTCACATTTTTTTCTCTCTTATTTCTCTCTCTTCCATCATAATTTTTTTTTTAATTACAAACAAAACATTTTGAATTTATTAGAAATTAGAAAAAAAAACACAATAAAAAAATTTAAAATTAAATAACCGAAGTATAGTTTGGTTACGAACCCTTTGCGTCACTCTTGCACCACGCCTTTGTCTTTACCTGAAAAATTTTAAAATGATGAATATTGAAAATACTCAATAAGAAACTCTCTCGTCGAGATTATATATGCTTACATACAAACAGTAACATATTGCGAATCAATGAACCGGTTTCTTTTTTAAAATGGGTTATTCGATCGGACGTGTCTTGTGGATTAGAATTGTCCAGCTCGACCTTAAACGATACATAGAGATCTTGATTATTTAGGTGTTTGCTTATTACTAGTTCTCCAAAACTATGAATAAAGTCAAAATCCTGATTCCCTTCCAAAATAAGAAAATAAAATATAAACTCAAAGTGTACTCATCATTGAAATCTAATATTTCTTAAAATTTATAACCCTTCGGTAAATAAATAAAACCCAACATAATAAGATTTTTGGAGCTATAATCCAACTCATATCGGCAATGGTGATCGAGTATAAGAAAAACCAACGACAGTGGTGATTGAGTATAAGAAAAAAAATTAAAGCAGAAGGTTAAGCCGAGAAGGTGAGTCAAGACGTGATGACGACATGATGGGGACTTCGTCTCAGATTGTGTGTGTGTGTGTGAAGCTGACTCGACAATTAGAGATTTTTTCTTTTAATTTTCACGTTTTGCCTTTTTAAATAAGATTTAAAACTCTTAAAATATAATATTAATAATGAAATAGGAAAATGGTATATAATTCAAAAATTAAACTATCTACTTAGTACACGTTTAAAAAATACTCTTTAATTTTTAAAAATAGTATTAATATTTTCCATTTTAAAAAAAAAAATTGAAAATTTCTTATTAGTATATAATTGAAAAACAATTATCGACAACCCAACGAATCCTCTTCCTCTTCAATTACCTTTCTCTCGTCCGCTCGTAACTTATGAAACAATTCTTTATTTATTGTCCTTCTGAAATACTCTTTTAATCTCTTTATTTTATTTGGCATCTATATAAAATAATATGATTTTATTTTAAAATAAATAAAATTTAGGTTTAATGGTCGGTTGGAAAGTTTATAGGTATTTTTAAAACGTGTAACACTTATAAATATTTTTTAAACAATAAAAGTATTTTTGAACTTATTTTGAAAATTTAAAGACATTTTTTTTAAAAAAAAATTCTCAATTTTAAAAAAATAATTTTAGTGATAAAAAATCATGAAAAATACTCCAATTAATATATATTTATATAAATTAATCTCCTAAAATTTCCTTCCAACTAAATTAATTTCTATAATTTGATCGAAAAAGAATATTATCAAATAATTTAAATTATAAAAAAAACACATGCAACTAAAACAAAAATGTAAATTGACCGAGCATAACTTAGCAAATAAAATGACCAGGAGTTCTTACCATTTTATAAGTCACGAGTTTCACATTTGTAATTATCGACTAAGCGACGGGATACCGAAACCGTCGAAAAGTAAAAGCTAAGTTTAGTTCATGAACCCGAGATTAAAATTAAAATTTTATTATTTTTATAAAAGGTACCCTATTATATTTTAATTTAATTGGATTAAAAAAAAAAAAGAAAAAAAAAAGGGATTGTTGATGATGACTTGATGGCATATTTGCAAAGTGAAAGTGTTTTTATAGTCCAGCAGTAATGGCTTCTTCTTCATGCTCTGCTTCCTCCTCTGTTTAAATATCTCTTCCTTCTTCTTCCTTTTCCTATCAGTTCTTCTTCCTTTCTGGGTTTTGTTTCAGAGACAAGAACAGGACAGGAATCTTGTTCGTTTTCATGTCTTCTGATCTGTTCATTCATGGCGATTCTTCTTCGTCGTCGTCTCTGTTTCGCTGTTCCTCCTCTGATTTGGTTTTCCCTTCTGATGCAGAGCTTCAATTCTTCTCTGATCCTTATTCTCCCAATTTCTCTGATTCCGCCATTGATGTTCTTAAGCCTCTGGCCGAGGAATTCAATTCCAATTCCAATCTCAATCCAAATCCCAATCCACTGGACCAGTTCATTCCGATGCAGGGCTTATCCCTCTCTCATGGAAACGATTTCCCTCTCCTCGCCGATCCTTCTTCATCTTCCTCAAATGGGTTTCAAAATCTCTCCAATTTCCATCTCAATTCAAACTCCTTCAATCAACCCCTCTGTTTCGACCCAACTGAAAATGCCGCCGCCGACAAATCCTTCCTCCACAGAAGCTTCAGTGAGAAGCCAGGCTTCCTCGGCGGCCAATCCCGCCTCGAATCCCTTCTCATGGACTCTCCAAATTTCCCCAATCAGTCCCTCCCCTGCCCAGAATCTGACTTTTTCTCCTCGCAAATCCGACGAGTTTTCAGCGCCGGTGACTTACAGGTATGCTCTGTTTTTCCTCCTCCCACTCAGAAACCCATTTTTTAATATTCTGTTTGTGATGGAATCTCCGTCCAGAATTCCGGCAGGGGGCGGTCGGAGAATGGAAGCTCGTTAATGGAGGAAGGGAATTTCAAAGTGGGAAGATACAGTGCAGAGGAGAGAAAAGAGAGGATTTCGAAATACAGAGCGAAACGAACGCAGAGGAATTACAACAAGACGATCAAGGTTAGAAAGACAGAGTAAGAGATTTTTTTTTTTTTTTCTTTTTTTGGGAATTTGAAATGATCAAAGCTTTAGAAATTGATGATCGGCGGCCATTAATGGAAGAGTGTGTGTGGTTTTTTGTAACAGTATGCATGTCGGAAAACGCTAGCCGACAACCGGCCGAGAATACGTGGCAGATTTGCACGCAATGACGAGCCTGGAGAGATTCCCAAAGCTGCATGTTCATCCAGGGAAGAAGACGAAGATGATTTCTGGGTATAATTTTCTTTTTCTTTTCGGATTCTTTTCGGGATATTTC